GGGTAATCACTACTACCGCGAGCAACAACTGCCATTGTAAACACAAAATCAACATATATAGACTTTATTGTGTTTCCTTATTATGCCATTCAACAACCCACACTTGGATGAACAACATTAGTTTTAAAAGTTATCATGTACACATTCTTAAGAAAATTAAGCAAATTGCATGAACCAAGAATAAAGCATCATGCACACATTCAACCAACATGTACAAATCACACATGTCATGTTCTCATGTGTACACCGTCCCCTCCTCCAATGTGTCAGGCTCTCCATGCCACCCTAGAAAGCATGACCTCCACTCGCGCTATCTCCCAAAGATTGCCATGTACTAATTTGACTAAGGTGTTGATGGAAATAAATCGGAAAGTATCCGTCGTGTGATAGATCACATCCAATTTCACTAGGAAATGGAAATTTCCTAATATAAATGCTAAATAGTTCACAATGTGGAACAAAATGGTTCAAAACAAATACTTGTATCACTCTATATTCATCGAGCATGTGAAGATAAGAATTGAAGTTTATTTTAACTCAAGTAAGTTTAGCCAATCATGCTGTTTGTACCTCTAAAGATAGTTTCACTGAAACTAATGAACATTTATTTTTAATAACAAATGGTCTAAAACAACATGAAATACCAACAAAAATGGCTTAAAGATTTGGACATTCAATTGAAGTCATTGTTTATTCAAGAAGAATCAAAACATTGTCGCTACAAAGTACTAATAAAATATTTAGAAAACACAAGAAAATTGGAGACCACCACACTGACTAAATACACTTAAATCTTCTGAAGGAATCAACTGCAAGTTAGCAAACGGATAAATGAGAAAAAAGAAACAACTTTGATCCTCTCTGACTAGCATTTGGAAAGATCGGATGGCGGGGGGAGTAGCTTCGGCAGGCTCCCATCTAGCACCAGCCATGCCATTCTCAGTCCCCAGGTCGTGTGCACCTCCAAATGACAATGCATGAACCATACACCTGTGGATACATGCATATCGGACATATGAGTAGGGGCTAAACCACAAGTTTCATGAATAGATAGTACTAGGAAAAGTGCCCGTGCGTTGCAACGGGAGAAAAAAAAATTCACGCCTCATACATACACTTAACGACATCAGCAAATCCTTGAGATCTTTCATGATGCCACGCAACAAGCAACATGATAACTTTTCTAAAAATCAAGCAACATGATAAATGGTGTTGTGCAAAAACATAAAGGTGTGATGATTTTTGAAGTGAACTGAAGGTGTTTAGAATTCATTATACAACGCAAATATCTACCTAGTTGCCTATATATGTTTACGCATTTGTTGTTGTTTCTCGGTGACGCAAAAAAATATTGCATTAGAATGAAATAGCAAAGTACATTTTAGTATTTAATGATAACATGTGCATAAGTGTTTTCATATACTCCCTTCGTCCAAAATAACTTGTCCCAAGTTTGTCCCTCAAATGGATGTATCTAACACCAAATTAGTGCTAGGTATATCTCTTTGAAGGACAAGTTTTTTCGGACGGAGTGAATATACCCAGCGCATATATATGCGACGCGACGCGAATGTGTGTGTGTGTGTGTGCGCGCGCAATCATAATTCAATTCAAGACTTAATTTGGTTGCAAACATATAGGATAGCTCCACAAAAACAATCAATCTATAAGGACATATGTAATAGGCATTTCTAAAATATCTCATCATACAAAGAAGGTATTATTTAAGTTTGCACCCTGAACGTAATTTCAAAAATTAATGATAATAGCATATTTGAAATCTACATATTTTTCTGATGAATTTTCATATATGGCATGTCAGATTTAAAGTTAGGGTTTCAAAAATATGAAAATTTCAAAAAGTAATTGATTTTTTAAAGGAAAAGGGTGGTTGTGGGAATCAAACCCACGACCTCTAGCGCGGTAGGTCACGGAACCAACCAGTGCGCTGCTCGCCTGGTCGTTGTATATGAGGGGATCTCCCCTTATTGAGCTATGAGGGAGCGTGGAAAAAAAAAACGTTCTTCTCACTTACCGATGGCATTGGTGGGTAATTATTTGCAACTTTAGGGGCAGTTTTAATGACGGACGGGCAGAAGCGATAGCCGCTTTATTAGTAATAAGGTAAAGATAAGGTAAAGATAAAGATAAAGATAAAGATATGCAACTCTGCTTACCTGGGTTGTCGGCGAGAAAACGGATGGCCACCCATCCACCAGCCGGCACGCCGACGGTGTTCCGCTCGACGGGGTCGACGAGGTTAAATCTCGTCGGGTCATTCACAGGGTCGTAGTTGCCAAACCCTTGCCCCACGACAAAGAAGTTGAAGCCATGCAGGTGGAGAGGGTGGCTCTCGATGCCAAGGATGCTCGTGTCCTGCATCACCAGCTCCACCGTCGCGTTGAATGGCAACACGAGCAGCTTGGTCCCGGTGGCCACGTTCGTGTTGTTTGGTGATACCCCAGTGTAGTTGAATTGCGAGAGGGGCATGACCGGAAAGTTTGACCCGTAGACACCTCGAGACTTGCCTGTGAAGTGCGACTGAAGGAGCGCTGTGGAAGGAAGCACCAAGGAGATGTTGTTGATGGCTGCCGCAAACTGTGTGGTGTTGGTAGGCCCCTCGCATGTCGCATTCACGGGGCAAGGGCGTGTGCCCAACCCGATCGTGAAGAAGAACTGCTTGTCCACCGACTGCGGCACGGCCGCCGGGTACTGCGGTGTGGCGAGGCTCCGGAGCTTGGAGGTGAAGTTGGTGACCAGGCCGGTGTCGTTGAACCTCGGCAGAGTCGGCCTGAAGAGTGGCAGGTCCTTGTCGAAGCTTGACTCGAAGGCGGAGCGAGGGTTGTGGTACTCGAGGATGCCGGCGACGGTGGTGCTGTCGAACGTGCCAGGCCTGATGACGGAGTATGGCGCGGCGGACATGTAGAAGTTAGCCTTGGGATAGAACGGCTTGGCTGTGAGGAGCACGTTGGCGGTCTGGCCCGGGGAGATTATCATTGTCTTTACGGTGAACGGCTTGACATAAACTGCGTCGACCTCGACGATTGTGAGTGTGTGGTTGGCGACGGAGAAGAAGAGCTCGTCGTTGAGAGCAGCGTTGATGAGGCGCAGCAGGTATGTTTTTCCTGGTTCCACTTTCAGCTTGAACGTGTCTGCAAAGTGTCATGGGTGCACGGTAAGCATACTGGTTATCAGGTTTATAAATCTTTGACGATTAAGATGCATGGAAGCACATAGTGAGCGCATACCTTTGGCGGAGCAGTTGTATAGCGGCCCAGGGAGCCCATTGATGGTGAAAGCGTCTGAGATGTTTGGGGCGCCGCCCGTCCGGAGCGCCTGGCTGACCAGTGCCTCCGTGTCCGCCCTCCACCACTCGCCGAAGAGAACTGGAACTTCCTTGTGTGGCGCAACGAACGGGTAAGGCACGCCGAGCTCGGGGAGGATGACAATGGAGCCGTATACGGTGGCGCGTAGCCAGGAGATGTGCGCGTGCCACCACAGCGTGCCGCGCTGCCCGGTGACGGTGAAGTTGTAGACGTAGCTCTGGCCCGTCTGAATCGGGCACTGCGTGACGTACGCCGGCCCGTCGGCCCAGCCGCTCCGCAGCTGCCGAATGCCGTGCCAGTGCAGCGTCATGTTGTGCGCCACGTGGTTGGTGACGCGGACGAGCACGCGGTCGCCCTCCCGCGCCACCAGCGTGGGGCCGGGGTACTCCCTGTTCACCGTCACGATGCTCTTGCTGGCGCACAGCCTCGTCACGTTCGCCATTTGCACCTGCAGAGATCGGAAGACGAGCACCATCCATGTGAGAAAATGCATGTAGAGCAGT